ACCTGAGAGGTTCTCAGCCAAGCTGATGCGCCGCCTCCGAAAGCTGGTTGAGACTTGGGTGGCCCCAGTGGCACCCAGAAGCTCAAAGCCCACCCATGCGGGCACAAGCTTGCTGGTGGAATATATTTTTTCAACACACAACTTGCGCGGGCCGCTAACTAAGCAGTGGTCGACATGAGGAGGAGGAGGAGGAGGAGGAGGAGGAGGAGGAGAAGGAGGTGGACGCGAAGAAGGAGGCGAAAGAGGTAGGAGGAAGGATCTAGCGGAAATTTACCGGTCGACTGACAGCGAGAGGATCCCGTTACTGCCCTGATTGGTAATGGCTGCGCATCACGTCCCCATGACGCCTCTGGGCGGCACGATGACCCCTTCTCGCTATGTGGTTGATGACGCTCGGCCCCAGTTCCGCGCAGACCTGCCGTGCACGCCTACAGCCACCGTTAGCACGAGCTGATCACAGCACTGAAGCTGAAGAAGCTGGCTCCTGCGTCGTTCCTCTCGAGCTGATCCCGTGAGCTGGCCCCACCAGTACAGCTGTTCACTTTCTCTCATGAAGGCCCTCTTCGCACGACATGGCCTCAGCATTGTCGCTGAGATGAAGCTCCCGCCATCGCTCTCGTCGCACTGCGTCTTCGCTGTCACGACTTGCCTGCTCACCAGAGCCGGCCCTGTATTGAAAATGGTGTGGCCACCTCCCACGAGCTCCCTTCTCGCGCGAGCTGCTCACTGCTTGCACTGCCTCGCGCGTGGCCGAGCGCAGCAGGTCATCCCTCCGCGCCGAGCCGCGCCGCCTAGCGGTGCATCTGGGCGCGCACCACCTGCACGACGGCGGCTGCTTCGTGAGGGTGGAGAGCTCACTGCTTCCACTGCCTGCCCCCTCGCACGAGCTGCATCCTGCATGGTGTCCGACGGCCCTCTCTCACGAGCACCGCTCTGGCAGCAACAGGGAGCCCGCCGCCGCTGCCCGCCCTCTCGCGCGGGCTGGCACCCCGGCGCGGGATGCCGATGATCCTCTCGCGCGGTCGCCCTCCTGGCAGCAACCACACCCGCTGCCACCTGCCAATGCCCGCCTGCTCGCAGGAACGGATCCCCGCGGTCTAGCTGGCGGCTCAGACTAATTCGAAAACCGTTTCCAGAGTGAGTCGCGCGCCGCCCTGCGTCGGTGAGATTCTGGTCTTGACTGGAGCTGGGGGCCAACCAATCACCAAAAATGCTCCCAGATGGAATCACGCACCCGTTGCATCTCACAGACGACGCGACGTCGCTTGTACCGGGCTCGAAAGAGTCTCTCCGAGCACCCGAACGCCTGTCTTCTGCCACGGGCCGGCCCCTGCATTGCAGCTGAGGCGTGCATCCCATCAGCGCACTAACGAAGGCAACGGTGCCTGGTGCCACTGCCTGCCTTCACGGAGGAGCCAACCTCCGCTCCGCAGCTGACGGGCGTCGCCCACGAGCATCCGATCTGCTACCACTGCTCGTGGAGCAAAACCAATACAGTGGAGGCCACTCCACAAGAAACAAACCTTCCACAAGAAACCCAACCCTGAGATCACAGGACGTCCATAAATGATTGGTGTCGGAGCGTCACGTTTCCCATTGCAAAACCAGCGAAGCCCAACAAAATCCATCGGGCGATCCCATCAACGGGTTACTGTTGAATGAGCAACCGGTATTTTTGGTGCAGGAGGCGACTAGGAAGCACGCAGAGGTCGAAAGACGACGCTCAAAGCACCGATACCTCGATATACTCACGGAGCTGCCTGCCGTCTCTCGCGCGATCTGGCCACTGCGCGATGCCGGATGCCCCCCTCCCCCCACAAGCGCCTGCTGGGCCGCAGCCGCTCGTGCCGCCGCGGCAACCCCTGCCGCCACATGGGCTGATCCCTGCGCTGCGACCGCTGCCCCCCTCGCTCTTGCGCTCACAAGCTTCGCCGCAGCGGGATCTGCTACCGAGGCGGGCATGTACACGTTCTGCTGGACTGCTTCGCGCGCAGGCTGAGGGGTCCTCCCCCTGCTTGGTGATGAACCCTCCCGGGCATTGCCGCTCCCAAAGCTGGCCCGAGGAAAAACTCAAACTCGCATCCTCTGGGAAACGCGGAGCGAGCATTCGAGAGGAACGGCTCGGAAGGAGGTAGAGGAGGAACAGAGAGGAAAAGGGAGGAGGGGAAGAGGAGGAGGAGGAGAAGGAGGAGGAGGAGGAGGAGGAGGAGGAGGAGGAGGAGAGAGGGAGGAGGAGGAGGAGAGGAGAGGAGTGAGGCGGAGGAGGAGGAGTGAGACGGAGGAGGGGGAGGAGGCGGAGGAGGAGTGAGGAGGAGGAGGAGGAGGAGGAGGAGGAGGAGGAGGAGAAGGAGGAGGAGGAGTGAGGAGGAGGAGGAGGAGGAGGAGGGAGGAGGGAGGAGGGAGGAGGAGGAGGGAGAAGGAGGGAGGAGGGAGGAGGGAGGAGGAGGAGGGAGAAGGAGGGGGGGAGGTGGGGCCCCAGAGCCGTCAAAGCACGGCCCGGGCACGGGGGAGGGGTCGGAAGTTCTGGGGACCCACGCACGACACGAGTCACGGCACCGCAAGTCTGAGAATAACTATGTCGTCGCCCCCGTGTCGGCATCGGCATCCCGCTGCAAGGGAACAGCAGACGGGGAGCGAGGCGGGGACGAGATGTCCGAGGGAGCCAACGATGGACCAACGGATGAACCGGAGGAGCCTCGAGGCCATTCCTGGCCCAAGGCGTAGGTCGGGCGTGTCCCTCTGCAGGCGGATTCGGGGCGAAAAATTAAAAATACTCAAAAAGTACCCCAAGATAGTAAAAATTAGCTTGGCGAAGGACCCAACCATATCCAGTTGTGAATACCGTCGTTGTGAGTATCGAATTCGGTGGTACTCTCTATGGGCCAAGAAACGCCGTCCTGGGTGGGGGAGACGCATGCGTACTGTGCCACTGGGACTTCGGTGGGGCTCCCTATGGGGCTACGAAACGCTGTCCTGGATGGGGGAGACGCATGCGCCCCCCCCCCCACTGGGGCCTTCGGTGGAGCTCCCTGTGGGGCCACGAAGCGCTGTCCTGGGCAGGGGGGACGCATGCGGCACCCCCCACTGGGGCCTTCGGTGGGGCTCCCTATGGGGCCACGAAACGCTGTCCTGGGCGGGGGGGACGCATGTGCCCCCCCCTCTGGAGCCTTCGGTGGAGCTCCCTATGGGGCCACGAAACACTGTCCTGGGGGCCTTCGGTGGAGTTCCCTATGGGGCCACGAAACGCTATCCTGGGCGTGGGGGACGCATGTGCCCCCCCCTCCACCGGGGCCTTCGGTGGAGCTCCCTTTGGGGCCACGAAACGCTGTCCTGGGCGTGGGGACGCATGTGGCCCCCCCCACTGGGGCCTTCGGTAGAGCTCCCTATGGGGCCACGAAACGCTGTCCTGGGCGTGGGGGACGCATGCGGCCCCCCCACTGGGGCCTTCGGTGGAGCTCTCTGTGGAGCCACGAAACGCTGTCCTGGGCGTGGGGGACGCATGTGGCCCCCCCCACTGGGGCCTTCGGTGGAGCTCCCTATGGGGCCACGAAACGCTGTCCTGGGCAGGGGGGACGCATGCGGCCCCCCCCACTGGGGCCTTCGGTGGAGCTCCCTATGGGGCCATGAAACGCTGTCCTGGGCGTGGGGGACGCATGTGGCCCCCCCACTGGGGCCTTCGGTGGAGGTCCCTATGGGGCCACGCAACGAATCAGCCATGGCGATGCCGATGATGATGATGATGATGATGATGATGATGATGATGATGATGATGATGATGATGATGATGATGATGATGATGATGATGATGATTGATGATGATGATGATGATGATGATGATGATGATGATGGATGATGTGATGATGATGATGATGATGATGATGATGATGATGATGATGATGATGATGATGACGATGATGATGATGATGATGACGATGATGATGATGATGATGATGATGATGATGATGATGATGATGATGATGATGATGATGATGATGATGATGATGATGATGATGCTGATGATGATGATGATGATGATGATGATGATGATGATGATGATGATGATGATGATGATGATGATGATGATGATGATGATGATGATGATGATGGGAGGAGGGGGTGAGCTGAGACATGCGGAGAGCAAAGGCAAGGATGGGGGAGGAGGGAGGAGGAGGAGAGGAGGAGGAAGTAGGAGGTGGGACGCGGGGCGCTGTCTCTTCAAAACGAGGACCCAACACCACAGGATGGTTGGGAAAAATGAAAACAACAAAAATAGTCCCCTGACTATTGTTTGACTATTTTTGAATGCTCCTCCCGTCGAGGGACAGGCCCGACTTAACCCAAGGCGTCACGTATTCCAACGTGTCGGCATCCTACCAAACATCGTGTTGCCATGCGGGGCGGAGAAGCAGGACCGAGTGGACTTTGGGGGCCTCGGCACCCCTCGGCAACGCTCTGAGGAACGGCCCGACCACCAGAGAGCCCCTCCGGAGCCCAACGTGGTCCTTCTTGTAGCGTCTCGACTGCAGCTGCCACGTGCTGCCACGCCGCCAGACTCTACCCAGCTCCCCGAATCGAATGATGATCGCGGCGGCAAATGTCGTGATCGTCTCGATCGCAATGAAAATCTGTATCGTCATCGCGTCATCGCGCGGCAATCAAACAAGGAAAAACTACGGAGGCCAGCGTGGATGTTCTGGATCGGCGCTGGTCCCCTTCTTTGGTGGGCGGAGCGCATCAGCGGCGGAGCCAAGACCTCCGACAAGGGGGTCCAGCGCAGACAAAAGAAACCCGCGCGGACATCCAAAAGACTGTGTTCATTAAGGAGCCGAATTCTACACACCGACACTTTCTCCGGCCCCGCACTGAAGCTCGCACAAGAAAGCGGATCCTGGTGTACACGGGATCTTGGTGTATAATGCTTCATTGCTTCCCCAGGAAAACAGGGACACAAGATATACACCACACCACCCCGGCGCCGTCCCCGACCCTCAAAGGGTCCT